CTGAGTGGCTGTGGCGGGGGGGAGCCAGGGAGGTCCAGCTCAGCCCTTCCTGAGCCTAGGGTGCTGCACTGCAGCTCCTGTTGGCTGCAGTTCCCAGCCAATGGTAGCTGCCAAATCAGTGCTTGGCACAGAGGCAGCAGACACAGACCCTTTGCTGATGCCAGGGGCTGTAAGGAAATGCCGGCCCCTTTCAGGAGTAGTGCAGGGCCCAAGAGAGAAAGCCTGCCTCACCCGGACACTTCTAGTGGCCTAAAATCTTCCAGCTTGACTTCAGTAACTTCTTGGAGAGAGCCCCTGATTGCAGAAGACTCGCAGCGAAACAGAGGGTTAACAACCCAAATACGTGGACTTGCTGCACCTTCCTTCACGTTACCTTTTTCGGTTACCTGTTTTGCCAGGATATCACGGACTCAGCCACAATTCTTAAAAAATAGACCTCAGAATCATTGCAGGCTAAATGTGGCCAATACTTCAGTTGGACATCATAGTGCTTCTCACCTGTCAGTGGAATGGACTATGGACATGGTCTCCAAAGTGTATTTTGGGGTTTCATGTATTACTGTTACCTGCACAAAATTCTCTGTCATTTACACACTTAAGGGACATGCACTCTCACCTATTCTTAGAACTTATGGGGAACGTATGGGACTTTTACAGGCGGGAGGTAGGGAGAACTCAGTGGTTTGAGCATTGTTCTAAACCTGTGGTTGTGAGGTCAGTCCTTGAAAGGGCCATTTAGGGATCAGGGGCAAATCTGTCAGGATGGTACTTGGTCCTTCCACGAGGACAGGACTGGACTTGATGAAGGTCCCTTCCAGTTCTATGAGATATGTATATCTCCATGTAGCCTTCTTAATATAGGCACCCAGCTTCACCCATTCCTAGAGCTCAAGCAAAACTTTTTCAATAGGCATCTACCCTCATCCTTATGCAGGCTCAGGTGTAGCCTTACACTCTACGGCTGTGTCTACATTGGTGCGATCTTGCGCAAAAGCAGCCACTTTTGTGCCAAAACTTGCGGTCTGTCTACACTGGCCACGAGTTCTTGCGCAAGAACACTGATGTTCTAATGTATGAAATTGGTGCTTCTTGAGCAAGAACTATGAAGCTCCCACCCAGGAATAAGCCCTCTTGTGCACCTATTCTTGCGCAAGAGGCCAGTGTAGACAGGCAACACGAATTTCTGGGGCAAGAAAGCCCTATGGTTAAAATGGCCATTAGAGCTTTCTTGCGCAAGAGAGCATCTACACTGGCACAGATGCTCTTGTGCAAAAGCACATCTCTTGCACAAAGGCATATGCCAGTGTACACGTTCTCTTCTGGAAGAGTTTTTGCACAAGAACTCTTCCGCAAAAGAGTTCTTGTGCAAGATCATGCCAGTGTAGACGTAGACGTAGACGTAGGTTTGTGGGGTCTTTATGAAAGAGCCTTACACAGTAATATCCTTCTTAATCACTATGTAGTAACCATCAAAAACAGAATGCACACAGCAGGCATAACAGTGTTCACTGATCCCGATAAGACAGATGAACTTGTCTTGATAGCCAGTCAGGACCAGGTCTATCTTGGGGACTGATAATTATCTTCATTAGCACATCTAGATGTTTACATTGTGTATAGAATACTCCCTCTTCTTTCTTACATGCTTAGATGAACAGCACAAGTGTTAATGTTGAGGTCTAAAGTATTATAATTGACATCTGAATTAGAATCATAGACTACTAGGACTGGAAGGGACCTCGAGAGGTCATCGAGTCTAGTCTGCTGACCCATGGCAGGACCCAGTACTGTTTAGACCATCCCTGATAGACATTTTTCTAACCTCCTCTTAAATATCTCCAGAGCTGGAGATTCCACAACCTCCCAAGGCTATTTATTCCAGTATTTAACCACCCTGACAGTTAGGAACTTTTTCCTCATGTCCAACCTAAACCTCCCCTGCTGCAGTTTAAGCCCATTGCTTCTTGTTCTATCCTCAAAGGCCAAAAAGAACAATTTTTCTCCCTCCTCCTTGTGACAACTTTTTAGATACCTGAAACGGCTATCATGTCCCCTCTCAATCTTCCCTTTTCCAAACTAAACAAGCCCTATTCTTTCAATCTTCCTTCAGAGGTCATGTTCTCTAGACCTTTAATCATTCTTGTTGCTCTTCTCTGGACTCTCTCCAATTTCCCCACATCTTTCTTAAAATGTGGTGCATACATTGAAATCAATGGGATAATTCAGATTTAATATTTATTGTTTCAGGCTCTCTTGCCAACTCAGGGAGTCACAGCCAGGTTATGTTTTGAAGATTTTGAAATAGAATAGACCGGTTATAAAAAAAACTTTTTAAATACGTGTCTGATTCTGCTATCATTTCAATGTATTGTACCTTACTCTGTGAATAAATTTCAAGGGAAACACTGACAGAGGACAGTACTAATAATGGATGTAGGTGGCACACATGGTCCACCAATGATTATTCTGCTGTAAATTATGTTAATTTACAGCTGCCTTCAGGTTTGCATGCATGTATTACTGTATCTCAGGCCAAATTCTACTGGTAGCTTTAGCTATGGAACTCCCTTAGTCAGCAAGGGTATGTCTAGACTACATGGCTCCATTAACGGAGCCAGGTAGATGAGTTTACTAGACATAGGAAATTACTGGAGCAGTCGACAAAGGCTTCCGTTGTCGACCGCGGAGAGTCCCGACTGCCCTGCTGGGCCGCCAAACAGCTGATTGGCACAGCACGGCGGCCATTTTGATGTAAATAAAGCGGTGGTTATTTAAATTTTGCTTCTTACAGCTTACTGTTGTAGGGTTTATATGCACAATCAGCAACTGTTTTTATACTATATCCAGCAACATAAAACCAGGTATCAGAGGATACATCTACACAGCAGGGCAAAAGCCAAATTAAGATATGCAACTTCAGCTACATCAATTGCATAGCTGAAGTCACAATAGCTTAATTCAGCTTTTGGCACTGTCTACACAGTAGGAAGTCAAAGGAAGAAGACTCTTCCTTCGACTTCCCTTACTCCTTGTAAAATGAGGGTTCCAGGAGTGTAGTCGGCAAGAGTAAGTCTCAGGTCCGACACTGGGTTTCCAAAGTACAAAGGATGCCACACAGGTATCTGTCAAACATAAGTAGTTTTATTTCTTGACAGCTAACAGCTGTGCCTCATAAATGGAAGAACAATATAACAAAGAAGCGGCATATCTTACATCCCTTCCTGCAAGCCTGGGACCCCGGGTAGGCTGCGGACGAAGTGGGAGGTTTTTTCAGTTTACAAGGTGCCGGTACCCAAAGCCCATCGGCGAAGTATGATTTGCTAGGCTCTGAGGCAGCCTTAAATATAGTTTTCCTGCCTTGTTTGGCAGTTTGGAAATTTCCAGGGCTTACTCATTAGTGCTGATGTAGAGCTTAGCTATTAGTTTTCGATCTGGATCTTCTTGTTCTTTGGCCCTATTTACGTGATCAGTACGTTAGGGTAAACAGAATTGTTTATGAGTTCTTGTGCTTTACCGTTATCTTATACTTGTTCCTGCTATACTGGCAACAATGCTTATCTTAAGTGGCGTATGTTCCCAAAGACTTGCTTCTGGCTCATCAGATATAGGGAAAAGGGAAAGGGGGGGAAAGAATGCAGGCCTCACCACCCCTAAACTATCATATACAAAGTTCTTCCGCAATTGACAAGGAGTCAGAGTAAGAAATCCTCCATCTCAAAATTATTTTGAAATAATGGCTTGCTGTGTAGATGCGCATTTATTTTGTTATTTTGAAATAATGTCAGTTATTCCAAAATAATGCTGCTGTGTAGGCATACACTAAATAAGTGTTTCTTAAATTTTTTGAGACCATGAAACACCAAACAATTTTTTTTATTTAGAACACCTATGAAAATTTTCTTCAAAAAAAAGTCAGACAAAAAAAAGACAAAAACAAAGAAGTAACAAAAACAAAGAAGAGGTCGCAGCACACCTGTGAGTTGTTCACGAAACACCAGTGTTCCACGGAACATAATTTAATAAACACTGCCCTAAGTGAGCATGATTGATTATTCAACCCTAAATTCTGTCCCCCATTTCATGGGAGTGACTGAAAGCAGAATTTGGTTCTTAATATTCACTCTGAAAAAGCTATGTTGTTTTTAAAACTATTTCTCTCTCTCTCTCTCTCTATATATATATATATATTCATGTAACTTCATCTCATCAGTGAGTGTATGATCAAAGAATATTTACTCCAGATTAATTACTTGATATGCTCCACTTGAGCGATAAATACAATTTTCATTATGTAGCCACAGTACTGTTTTTCAACACAGTTGAATTATTTTTACATGGGTGAAATAAAGACAGTCACATCATCATAAAGCTGGAGTGAAGGAAGGAATGATCAGGCAACTTATTTTAAAACTGAAGCTTGGGAATGTGTCAGTTATGGACTACAAATAATAGAAGCTAGAACCCTAGTATATAAAATGTGTATAAGAACAGGATTCATTATATTAAATTTAGCTGTTTTAAGAAATTCAAATTTATAGCTTTTCTCCCTGAAAAGTAAAACCAATCATACTAGAAAAGATAAAGACAAAAGTACTATAACTTTTGTAAAATATTTCAATATTTTATTACCAATAACTTACATTCAAATAAATTATATTTTAAAATATTATTATACATTTTTACATCAAGTTTAAATTAGAAAGCATTAGCACTCCATACAATTAGCAATCTGATTCTATACCCGAATCTTGTTCCAGTTCAACATTGTCATCTTCACTATCTGAGTCTTCATAAAAGGAAATTGTGGCTTGCACAGGGAAGTTTTTCAGAAGTGCTTCAGCTTCTTGATATAAGTAATCATAGCACCTTGATTTGGGCCAAAATAGCCTGAAACAAATATGTAATATGTTTTGCTTATTTATTATTGTTAGATATTATAGTTTGTGTTTCTTGTCTGTGAACCTCCGAGGACAAGAAAGTCTTCTCTGTTTCTAACAGACACCAACACAAGTATCGCTTGATGAACCAACGCTAGAAAAGGTTTCTCCTTTATCTGAATTGATAGATATTTTGAAATTTTAAAATGTCAAAAATTCAGATAAAATAAAAGCCTTAAATATACTAGCGTTCAAAATGTAGTATCAAAAACTAGCCTGAATCCTGAGAGCCACTTCTGTAACTCAGTCTCCATGCTACTCAATTAAATGAGGTTCTGCAATGTAGTCCAATGACTATGAAAGTCACTGGAAAGATGAAGATAAATAATGTGAATTGCTTAGTTACTAAAGGCCATATTCTCGCACAGTAGTATTAATCAGGATTAGCTGAAATTAATGGTGTTACGGTGGTATAAATCTCATGTAAAATGAGAATCGAGCCCATGGATTTTACCATAGGACTCAAGAGTTTGAATCCAAAAGAAAAAAAAAAATCTTTGTCTGATTTTCGAAAACATATTTTCTTCCCACTTGTGGACTACATGCAACTCGTACCCTATGCGTCCAGTTTTTTAAACTGATCTCCTCTATTGTTCCCACAGATTATAAACCATAATGATGACCATTAGATTTTTCAATACCTTAGGCAGGGACTTCCAACCAATACAATTTATCAACTAATCACAAGCAAAAATGGGCGACGAATTTTAAAAGAAAAGAAATTAGATGTTAAATTTCCAAAAATAAACACTAACCACTTTGTCATTAGCGCCAATTAATATATTTCCCTATGTAAATGATTAACAATGGTTATATATCATCCATAACAGAAACAAATTAAAAAGCATGAGTTTTGTACATATTCATGAATACTTTCTAAATGAACTGTAAACAGTAAGCTATAGCTTTCATCTAAACAATGTCTCTTTTCCACTCAAGTACTCTATTACAATTCCTGTTTGCTTTTAGTGTGCAAAGCCACAATCCTGCAGAGACTCCCACATATGCCTGAATGTAAGTAGTCCCACCGAGGTCAATACAATTACTTGTGCGTATACAGAATTGGAGCCTAAATTTGTGAGCATTTACTGGTCTACATAAAGTACTAATTTATGTAATTACAGTCTACTTTCCTAAGTCATCTGGGGTATGTCTACACTAGCCCCCTCGTTCGAACTAGGGAGGCTAATGTAGGCAGTCGAAGTTGCAAATCAAACCCGGGATTTAAATATCCCACGCTTGATTTGCATCTTCCCAGCCGGTCAACATTTTTGAAATTTACAAGTCCGGACTAACTGCCCGCATCTACACATGGCAGGGACCTGGTAGTTCGAAATAAAGCCCTAGTTCGAACTACCGGATCCCTACCGTATGTAGTCGCGGGCAGTTAGTCTGGACTTGTAAATTTCAAAAATGTTGACCGGCTGGGAAGATGCAAATCAAGCGCAGGATATTTAAATCCCGGGTTTGATTTGCAACTTCGAATGCCTACATTAGCCTCCCTAGTTCGAACGAGGGGGCTAGTGTAGACATACCCCAGATGATTTAGGTCACTACATGCAACAGATAGATCCCATACCATGGCAGCTATAATATTCTTTACTGTCTGACCTGAACTGTTAGTGGTGTTGTATGCTATCAAACAGCTGCCAAGTTCTATCAAGGGATAGGTGAGAAGAGTTCTGTCTGAAAAGTGTAAAATGTCTTTGGATCCTCTGGAATAAAAGCACCTTTATGAATGCAAGTTATCATTAGTATGATCATTTTTAACATTTATTTTGGTAGGCCACACTCCAACAAAGCACTTAAGCATCTACATATCTTCATATATGTGAGTACTTTCATTGATATTAATAGTACTACTCACACTATTTAAAAGTAAAAAGGTACTCAAGTGCTTTGCTAGACAGCAGCTATAATGCACAACACATTTCTGGAAAAGATTTCTGTACTCTTTGCTCAGCTGATTTCATACCATCTAATGAACATATGATCACAAATATATTTGGTGGTATGAGGGAGAGACTAAAGGCCAGAAGTCTGCTTCAGAAGCATGACAGATGTAAAACTAATTGTCAGGAGGGTAACTAGAGATCTTTTAATTTCTTTAATAACAATTTACCTTACTGGATGTGTATATTGGGTACATTTTCCAGAGGCTTCTGTCATTCCATATGGACTATGCAGCTAGGAATTAAAAGAAGAGACAAAATTTACTCCATGTATGTTAAATATAACATGGCAAACAGTAAAGGTTAATTTACTTCAGTAGTCAATATTATTCTTTGTTTATTAAACCACACATTGCCAGTTAACCTCAGAAATGACCTTCACTTCTGCTGCAGATTATTTTCTAAACTGTTCTGAGGTGATTGACAGTTTGTTGCTGGGATGGGGGGAGAGTATTTATTTTTTTAAGTCACGGTTATGTGAGGTATCCTGAACCTGTCCCATAGAGGAGAACCTGTTTGGTCCTCTCCAACTCTCTGTCTGTGGTAAGTAGAGTCAAACTGCTCCATGTTTGTTCTGTCTGTCACTTAATGCAGTATTACGGCAGATTTGAGACATTCACATTAATGCAGTATTTTGGCAGATTTGAGACACTCACCACATCTTGTTTTTTTCTCATCTGTCTCTCTGCATCTCTTTGGTTGGGGATCCAAGGTCTCCAGAATTCCCCGGCCCTGCAGAACCAAGGAAACAGCCAGTTAAACAGAGAGGAACACTCACCTAACTCTAGACTGGTCGCTCAGTTTCCACAGCGCGGTCGGCGGAACAGGCGGCATGGGCAAACCAGGCGTCTGATCACAATTGGTCTGCCGGAAGGAAGGCGCGGTGGCTGAGCTGGAGGAAGTGCGGATACCCGTGTTGTCCTTTGGAACATCTCCCGGAGCTAAGCCCCCAGTGTGGAGGGCAGCAGTAGATGCGTGCGCTCTCCATGCTCCGCCACTTCAGCGCAGGATCCAGACAAGAAAGTAGCGCTGCTTTGCGGATGATCCTGAAGTAGATCACGTCTCCTGCTAGCCAGGGGTTTTTATAGTCCCCGGCTAATAACTATTTAGGAGTCCACCTCCTCCCTTTCGTTTGCTAGTCAGATAAACAAAAAGGCTACGCGTGAAGGAGCATCAGTGTAAACAAGGAGCGTGGACGCGTGCAAGCCCCAAATGGCCCAGGGAGAGATCTGGCAAGTCAGTGTTAATCACACTTGAACAGACACGGCTGCTGCCATAAAAAAAACCCCACACTTGTGGGCTGTGAAATGGCGAGTGTGGGAAAGTCTACATGACTTCTAGTTTCGCCTGTTTTTTACAATAAAGGCTGGTGTTGGACAGGCACGAAGCTCTATTCTAGCTGCTACCACCGAAGGGAATAAAATACCCACTACTTCTGTGACAAAAATACCTATCTGCTTGCCTGGGAACTCAGGACGATCTATTCCTTCTAATCCATGCTGCTTTAGCAGAAATAAAGAAATGGACAATAAAAAAGGAGGCCTTTAAAATTGTGCTTGTTTATTCACTACTGACAAAACATACTTAGAAATTATATCAAATGCTATATCTTCTGCAAGTTTCGGATATATAAAATATTCCAGCCTTCATGATTTGATTTACTTTAGGTTATTAATTTAATTTTATGAACAGCTGGCCCTTTCAAAGTAGCTCTCACTTCAAACTTACAGCAAGCAATCTTATCTAGCCACAACATTGATTTGTAAAAAATATACTTTTTTAAAATGTCATTTCAGCTGTTTCAAGGGCAGTACAGATCAGGGTTAAACATGGTATTGAGAGGCAGCTGAAGGACTTTCATGATGGTGGAGAAAGTGGCATGTCCAGTGGGAATGGCTTTGCATTGTGGATCCTAATTCACTTCACCTGTAGTAAATATTTACCTTCTTAACCAAGGGAAAGAAACTTCTCTGCACTTTATATATTCCCACATTGGATATCATCAATTCACCCAGCACTCAGTGGCCCCCCCACTCAGTGGACACCACAGTGCACCCCCCACTCCCCATGTCCTCAGCATGTAGCCTAGTGCTCTGATGGTAATTGAAAAGGCCCAGGGCTCCAGCTCCTGCTGCAGCAACTGTATTCACGATGGCAGTGGCGACCAGGAGCCCCTGGCTCCTATGAATCACTGAGCCCTGGGGGCAGTTTCCCCCTTTCCTCCCATTGCTGGGATTGCTGGAGCACACATAGCCCCAAAATGATGGAATATGCTCAGAGACTCAACCAGGTGGCATGTTTGTACCCTTTGCACTAGACTATTGCCTTTCTGTTGCTAGTCACAACTTCAAGCAGTGTTCTGCCCAGGGGCAGATGTGGGTAGAAATTTGCTTGTGTGTTTTCCACTGTACCATGGGTATAATGCAATTAACACTATATAATTCACTGCACCACATGTAAAATATGCATATTATTAGCTCTTTGTTAAGTAGCATCAAATTACTCAGTGTTTGTTTCATCTGTTACTTTTTTTTTCCTAAGCAGATTGTGAATAGTTACAAAAGAATGTCACAAAACTGAGTGACTTGGCAACAAAATGGTAGATGAAATTCAATGTTGATAAATGCAAAGTAATGTACATTGGAAAACATAATCCCAACCATACAGATACAACGATGGGGTCTAAATTAGTTGTTATGACTCAAAAAAAGAGATGTTGGTATCAGCGTGAATGTTTCTCTGAAAACATCCACTCAGTGTGCAGTAGCAGTCAGAGAAGTGAACAGAATGTTGGGAATCATTGGGAAAGGAACAGACAATAAGACATAAAATATCTTATTGCCTCTGCAGGAGACCCCCGAGATGTGACTGACCGAGTTCTGACCTCCCCGCACTTAAAAGCATTTTTGTAAGTGAAGAAGGGGCCGAAAACCCTTGACTTACATACTCAGCCTGTATTTACGACGACGCACAGCACCTACTATAAATGTGGGTTTGAGTTATGATGCCCCCGACTTGCGACACTTCCTCTGGAACCAATCGCATCACAAATCAGGGGCCTCCTGTATATAAATCCATGGTATACCCACATCTTCAATACTGTGTGCAGATTTGGTCATCTCATCTCAAAAAAATGTATTGAAACTGGGAAAGATATAGAATAAGACAACAAAAATTAGAGATATTGAACAACGTCCATATGAGGAGAGATTAGTAGAACTGGGACTTTTCTGCTTGGAAAAGAGACAGCTGAAGAGGGATATGATAGAGATGTATAAAATCATGACCAGTGTGAAGAAAGTAAAAAAGGAAGTGTTATTTACTCTTTCTCAGAACAAAAGAAATTAATATGCAACAGAACTTGTGGAATTCTTTGCCAGAGTATCTCATGAAGCCCAAGGTTGTAACAATGTTGAAAAAGAATTAGATACATTCATGGAAGATAGGTTCATCAATGGCTGTTAGGATGGACAGGGATGGTGTCCCTAGATTCTGTTTTCCAGAAGCTGGGAATGCATGACAAGGGATGGAGTATTAGATGAAACCGTTCGTTCCCTCTGTGGCACCTGAAATGAGCCACCATCAGAAAGCATGATACTGGTTTAGATATAACTTAGGTCTGACCCAGTATGATTGTTCTTATGTTCTTTAAAGTAAACTAAACAAAGTGTTCATACTATATTGCAATAGATACCAGTCCTGTATCCTTAAGCAGGGGACTGGATAAGATCAAGTATTCCTCTTTTTCCTCTGTTACCAAATTGTCAGCATGGAGAAACCTATATTTGGTGCATAAAATCAGACACCTAAAGACTCTCTGATGATAGTATAAATTTTTCCATTTCTGAAGTGAGAATCAGTTATTGTAGCTAACACTTAAATTCTAAGGAAATCGTTAATATAATCTTTGGAGCAAAAGAAAGAGATGGGCACCAGGCTCTTTGCTGAAGAAAAATAGAAAAGAGTCTCTGTCAAACCAGTAGGGATGAACTAACACAACATTATTTATTTTGGTTAATTACCAAGGTGAGCCACATTATCTACAGAGAGATTGAAGAGAGAATGCACAGTTCAAACAAGTTGGGTTCCTTGACCGTTAGTTGCCCCACAGTTTAGAATTCCTTTTAATACTTACCCTGTACGAGAAGATCTCTTGAGAAATGAGTAGCTTACCACTTATAAAGCAAACTGAAACAAAAAGGTGTTGAAGAGATGAGAAGAAAATAATGACTAGTAGCTGTTGTTGCCACTGTGTACTTACAAGCTACATGACTACTCAGTCTTGTACTTTTGAAGTGCAGTTATTATGAGAAAGTTATTTTTGCAATACTTTACCATGACTGATCTTACACCAAGAAAGTTCAATCTAAACAAGAGTATGACTGCTTCCCTCATTTGTGTAGCACAGTAGAAAACAAAGAAATGTTAGCTAGCAATGTGCACATAGAACACCATGCTAGACACTAACCCATGTTAAAACCATGCTACAGTAAAAGCCACTTAAAGGATAGTGGCCCGTTGTGGTTAACAAAACTATTCATAATAATCTTTTTTTTTTTTTAGTTTGGTGGGAGCTTGTCTATTTCAGACTCCAATGTGAAGAGAGAGACGTTGTATTTAAGGCTGATTCACTCCTTAATTCTTGCTTAATCAAATTAACAGTTTTTTCTTTGTATTTCTCAGATACTAGTTATGTGTCAGATATTTGTAGTTCAGCTTTTTAAAAATACACAATATGCATATTGGATCAGATGTTGCTCTCAATTATACTTTTGTAACTCCAGCGTAATTCTAGTTGTCATGATCTAATATATTCTGCTTTAAAAACATAAAGGAACCAAAACTAACAAATCAGACTTTTCTACTTTTTTCATAAATAACAACAAAAATACTTAGGGATTATAGTAAATGTCACATCTTCTAAAAGTCTCTAATATTCAAAATATATCATCATGAAGGATTTATTATTAACAGCTACCCATTCAAAGCAGCTGCACATGTAAACTTAGACCCATCAATCTTATTCAGTGACAGAAATAAATGCTATTAAATTTTTTTGTAGAAAATACTATTAAAATTTAATTTTAAAAAACATTCAAGGGCAGTACAAGTCATTCAGACAGTTATTCTGGATCACATAAATACAACTGATAATACAATTTAGCTCTATATATCAAGCAGATATTCATCAGTAGCAAAGGGTGATTTACTCATGGAAATTGATTTAGAATACTTGTGTACCTTAAGCAGTTTAACAGCCTGTGATATAATATACTTTTAATAGGATGCACAGAAGAATAAACAGAGAGGTCTGGGCAGATGAGTGTGCTATTACAAACAAGGAACGTGTTCCCAAATGGCTCAGAGCAAGATTTGACAACACAGTGTTAATCACACTTGGACATGGGAATAGCTGGACTGAAAACATTCAGCTAGCTTCACAGAAGCCTCTCTGTGAACAGCAATGGATACCTCATGGTTATTAATAAAACATAGTACATTACGTAAAGTCTTCTGTACCAGTTTACATGCAAAATGTATGGGCCTGATCCTAAAGATCTCATTTATACAGTCAGATTATATGGAGCTAGAACATTTTATATTGTGGGAACTGAAGGCAGAAACCATGTAGTTGGATTGTTCTAATCAGGGAGTGTAACAGCATCAGTAGTTGCATCACTTATAGTCAAAGTTTGATATACATTTAGAAATTCAGGATAAAATCCAGTGTAATTAGCTTGTCACTTTTCTTTTAGCTGAGACTGTGTTGGCTCGGGAAATCCTGATTACAGAGGAAAACACTCTTCTTAACTGGTAGTTTATAGCCTGGGTCCATCTTCACATTTCCAGTTTTGATAAAATTTTACAGACAGACTTTGAAAGTTAGGTGTTTGCCTAATGTAGGCATGCAGATCTCCACTGTGTATATACAGATAAAGCATTTGTTTACACATATGGCCAGTTAGGTGGTTAGTCATGTGTGCATGTAAGTACTTGATTCATTTGCATATCTGGGATTTGCATGAATGAGATGCGCAAATGAGGTGTATGTCTTCTTTTTACTTTGTATTTTAGAAATGTGCATCTGTCTGTCCATCTGTGAGCCTGTTTGTTTAAGAACTCCTCCTAAATGGTCAGAGCTAAGACCACTAAATTTGGTATGCAGCTTTCTCTTATCATAACTTAAAGCAAGGTCAGGGTTTGGTTGCACCAGGACAATGGGATGTGCCTAGAATGCAATTGTTTCTCAAATGGAAAAGGAGGGGTCTAGTAGGAGGGAATTATACTGTAGAATGACCACATTCAACAGCAAGGACAGCAAGGGGCCAGAGATGGACACCTACAATCCCATTGGGCCAGCAGGGGGGGGGGCAGGGGTGGAGAAAGGGACACCTAACTACCAAACATTTCAGAGAGTTTGTCTGTTTGCATGTCTGTTTGTCTGTGTATATGTCTGTCCCCAGACATGCACTTCTCCCCCAGCTGAAGAGGCCATGGACAGGTGCTTCTCACCTGGCCCCAAGATGCTGCGGTGAGAGAGGACTGAAAATTTGGTACTAATTCTCTTTAAAGTACACAGCATCAGGGTTTCTTTTATCTGCAGATATGGAAATAAATGAATAGTTTTCCTATATACTTTAAAAATGAGGTATGAATTAACAAAGAATAGTACACAATATGTTACCAACCT